ACTAGAACTCACCGTCTCCAGGTGATTGGCCCAGAGTCACTCAGCCGGCTTTTATGCCTAAGGCGGGACTAGAACTCACCGTCTCCAGGTGATTGGCCCAGAGTCACTCAGCCGGCTTTCATGCCTAAGGCGGGACTAGAACTCACCGTCTCCAGGTGATTGGCCCAGAGTCACTCAGCCGGCTTTCATGCCTAAGGCGGGACTAGAAATCAACGTCTCCAGGTGATTGGCCCAGAGTCACTCAGCCGGCTTTCATGCCTAAGGCGGGACTAGAAATCAACATCTCCAGGTGATTGGCCCAGAGTCACTCAGCCGGCTTTCATGCCTAAGGCGGGACTAGAAATCACCGTCTCCAGGTGATTGGCCCAGAGTCACTCAGCTGGCTTTCATGCCTAAGGCGGGACTAGAACTCACCATCTCCAGGTGATTGGCCCAGAGTCACTCAGCCGGCTTTCATGCCTAAGGGGGAACTAAAACTCACCGTCTCTAGGTGATTGGCCCAGAGTCACTCAGCCGGCTTTCATGCCTAAGGCGGGACTAGAACTCACCGTCTCCAGGTGATTGCCCCAGAGTCACTCAGTCAGCTTTCATGCCTAAGGCGGGACTAGAACTCACCGTCTCCTGGTATCTAGCCTGGTGTCTTCACCACTAAACCAAACTGGCTCTCTATTTGTGTGGCTTTATGCTTAAAACTGGGAAATGTGCTTTCATAGGTAAAGGTAAAGGTTCCCCTCGCACATATGTGCTAGTCGTTCCCGACTCTAAGGGGCGGTGCTCAACTCCATTTCAAAGCCGAAGAGCCAGCGCTGTCCGAAGACGTCTCCGTGGTCATGTGGCCGGCATGACTCAACGCCAAAGGCGCACGGAACGCTGTTACCTTCCCACCAACAGTGATCCCTATTTTTTCTACTTGCATTTTTTACGTGCTTTCGAACTGCTAGGTTGGCAGAAGCTGGGAAAAGTAATGGGAGCTCACCCCGTGACGCGGCACTAGGGATTCGAACCGCTGAACTGCCGACCTTTCGATCGACAAGCTCAGCGTCTTAGCCACTGAGCCACCGCGGCGCTTTCATACTTTTAGCTAAATTTGATGTTCCGGTTGAACTGGGCCTGACGTTCCCTCCACAAAAGCCGAACATTTCTATCATTCCTCCAAAAAAAATATATTTTTTTTTAAAACCACGAACAGCGTGGCCGGGTAACATTAAAATAAAGTCTGCCAGTTTCTATTTTAAAAAAAGGGCATAAAATCTCCTGGAATTTACCAAGCAGCTTTCATCTCAGTTAGATGAGATTACACAGAAAAGTGGCCCATAGAGATGAAAAAAAAAAAGAAAGAAAGAAAAAAGTCCCTCGGCTCCATTATTCATGGACCCAATCCTTTTTTTTCTCAAATCCAACCAACAGGTGTTCTGTCTTTTGAAATTATCTACAGAATCCGCGACTTTAGAAGTCTGGAATCCGGCGAGAAATTGAAATGTCTGCTTCTTCAGACCATCATCTGGGCTCTCTTTCCAGTTGGGGGGGAATTTAAGTGAGGAGAAAGCTTTTATTTAATAATGCGTAGCTTCGCCAGTTAAAAACCTCAACGGCAACTCCTACAGATGTCCAATTCTTTGCTGCCAAATAGTTATTTTTAGTGAGAAACTTATTGACGAATTAGCCTCTAAATTCCTTTTTCTGTCCTGGCCTTGCTTGCTTTTTGGAATAAAGTGACACATTATGTCACTACTGGTTTGGCGCATGTGCACATGCTCGCTTCATCCACGCGCTTTCCTTCTGCGCATGCGCCCGGACTTCCACACATGTGCTTTGCTTGCGCGCACGCCTTCTGCGCGTGCTCCCGGCCTCAAAATGTACCTAAATAGGATAGCATAGAACTGGGGCAGGTAGGCAGGCCCACCTGCGATTTCTGCTACCGGTTCGGGCAAACCGCTCCGAACCGGCTGAATACCACTTCTGAATAAAGTCCCTGCAAAGATTAATATGGCGGCCTTTGGCCCCTCCCACCCCAAAGTTGCAGATTCTTTTAAATTAAACTTTCTTTTTCCTTTATGAGATTGGAACTATAGCTGTCGTGGCTTGTAAACGGCTTCGCAACGTATTTATGAGGCAATCCAGACCTTGGAGTGACAGGAAGGCAGAATTGAGGAAGTATCTACAGATAGTCCTGGACTTACGGCAGTTCATTTAGTGACCGTTCGAAATTAAAACGGCACTGGAAAAAAGCGACTGATGACCGTTTTTTTCACACTTGTGACCGTTGCAGCATCCCCATGGTCACATGATCAAAATACAGAGGTTTGGCAACTGACTCATATTTATGACAGTTGTACTGTCCTGACGTCATCTTTTGCAACCTTCTGACAAGCAAAGTCAATGGGGAAGCCAGATTCACTGAACAGTCATGTGACCAGGGGTGAAATTCAGCAGGTTCTAACAGGTTCTGGAGAACTGGTAGCAGAAATCTTGAGTAGTTCAGAGAACCGGCAAATAACACCTCTGGTTGGCCCCAGAGTAGGGTGGGAATGGAGATTTTGCAATATCCTTCCCCCAGGAGTGAGGAGGGAATGGGAATTTTGCAGTATCCTTTCCCCTGCCACGCCCACCAAGCCACACCCACCAAGCCACACCCACAGAATCGGTAGTAAAAAAAATTGAATTTCACAATTCACAATTAGTCACAAGCAGTGACTAATTTAACAACTGCAATGATTCACTTAACAAACATGGCAAGAAAAGACATAAAATCGGGAAAAACTCACTTAACATATTTCTCGTTTAGCAACATAAATTCTGGGCTCAATTGTGGTCATAAACCGAGGACTACCCGTATATTTAGACAGACTTGCGGGCTAATAGTGAACCTCAACTGAACCACCGTGATAGTTGGCATCTATGGGAGATACACGAGGGATGAGATCTGCTCCAGAGAGTTCAGACACCACTAGATTTTCTCCAGGGTTTCCACACTGAGCTCAAGATCAAAAAGAGCAAGCAGGGATTTGTGGTGGCCTGTCTGCCTTTGGCCCCTCCAACAGCCGAATCAGAGGAGGAGGAGGAGGGGTGGGAGTCAGGGCCAGCATCAGGGCAACCTGAGAGCTCTACGGGGGAAGAGGGAATGGAGCTGGCAGAGAGAGAGAGACAGAGGCGGAGCCTGGGCCATCCGTCAGCCCTCAGATGGAGAGTCAACAGCCCCCCAGGTCTGCAGGTGGCTGATGAGGAAGAGGAGGAACAGCTGAGTCCAGTACCTGACGTGCGGATGCGCAGAAGGCAGAGGAGAGGAGAGCAGTGGAAATCTATGGGCCGATCCTTGGGAAGGAAGAGCCACCACTGCTAACAAGGCCCCACCCTTGCTCTGGGGATAAAAGGCAGGGGGAGGAGATGAATAGATGAGACAGACAACTATTCGTCTTCTGGCCAGACAGATTTGTTAGCCTGCGTTGAGAGAGAAACATTTTGCCGGGGCTGCCGGCACTCCTAATTAAAGGAATCTTTGAGTTCACTTCAGAGAGTTGGTCGTGTTTGGGCAGCTGGGTCAGAACAGGATTCAGGAATGCAGCATTTTAAGCAGAGACAGGAACATCCCATGGTCACTTCTACAACAACGGCCCAACAACTTTAAACATTGATTCTCAAAGGAAAGCCAAATGGATCACTGAACACCCAGTTATAGGAAGACACATAAATGACCCCACAAAAAAAGACACCAGGCTTTGGACTACCACGCCAGCAATGGACAACCCTGAATAGGATTCGCACCTCGCCAGGCGTCTGCCGGAACTCTCTTTATCAATGGGGTTTAGCATCCTCCCCTCAGTGTGACTGTGGGGTCCCACATCAAACTGTAGATCGTATCGTGACCAGCGGTAAGCTGAGGCCAATAACAGTCTAGTACCATGATGGCGAACCAATGGCACATATGCCACAGGTGGCACGTGTAGCCATATCAGTGGGCACCCCAGCTGATTTTCAGGCCTTCTGGGCCCACCAGAAGTAGGGAAACAGGCTGTTTCCTGCCTCCGGAGGGCCTGGGGAGGGTGGGGAAGGCCCGCTTTTCTTTCTCACCGGGCTCCAAATACTCTCTATGCATCTGGAGAGGGCGGAAATAGCCTCCCCCCCCCCTTCAGAGGACCGAAATGGCCCATTTCCCAACTCCTGGTTGGACAGGAAGTGACGTTTTTATTGTCTCCAGCCTCCACAGACTCCTAGAGAGGCTCTGGAGGCTGGGGACAGAAAAAAAGTCACTTCCTGTCCAACCGGGAGTTGGGAAATGGGTGGTTTCAGGTCTCTAGAGGGCCTCCGAGGGGGTAGGGAAGGCTGTTTTCGCCCTCCCCAGATGCATAGAGAGGATCTGGAGCCAGGTGAGAAAGAAAAATGGGCCTACTGGGCCATTGCGTGCCAGGAATAAGGGGGAGGGGGGCTTGCACGTTCATGCGCAGGGCGGGGCGCATAGAATTATGGGTGTGGGCACACACACGCGTGAACCTCCCCCCGCCCCCACTTCTGGCACGCGATGGCAAAAAGATTAGCCATCACTGGCCTAGAGCCAAGCTTCAAAGAAATCCAGTTATTTATTAGGAGCTTCATGTCCGCACGTTCCTAAGTGAAGCCAGCTTTGAGCCTATGTAATTTATGCCCCAATCATGACCCTGTTTCTCCGCTCTCCCCCACAGGGTGTGTCATCAATCACATTCACCAACGGAAAATTTTCGCAGGTTGTAGAGATCACTCCCCTCCGGCCACTGTGGGTAACCCTGGGATACAGCCTTGAGAGAGATAAGTCTGGAATGTGCATCTGTCTTTGGCTGCCGTGCCGTTTCATTCATCAATTTCCCATCCCCTTTGCTTATGGCAACTCGAGAGCAGGCCAGGGATGCTTTGCGAGTTGACAGCTGGTGCACATTCTTCCTTGCGAGATGGAGTGTGTGTGTGTGTGTGTTTCCTGCCTCCGTTGTGAGCGCAAAATGAGTTTCTTTTAAAGCTTTGCTGCCTCTTACCTTGCAGGAGGTGGCTGAGGGTCTTTGGTCTCTTCTCTGACCCTTAAGAGAATTCCTTTCGTGCATCTGGTTGGGAGACTTTTGCCTCCTCCGCCTCCAGGTAACTCTGCAGCATTGAAGGGTCAGTGGGGAATTGCCGAAAGCAGGAGAGGAGGAGGAGATGAAGAACAGAGCCTGAATTCCTAAAAGGAAGGGAAATAAAGAAAGGCCACTGAGAATCTGGATGGGCTACTCCTCACCCCCAAACTTTAAAGCGACTTCATTTCCCTTTCATTCCTTCATTTGAAGTGTTGCAGTAGAAAAAGGCTGGATGTAAATTCTCCATTTAATCAACATGTCCATCAATCGAAAAGAAAGAGGACACTCACAGACCAGCTAGGCTCACAAGGTAACCCCTAAATGTCCCGTTTGAGGATACTTTTGCTATTCCTCCTTTTGCTTTCTTCTCGGGTAGCTTCGGCTCTACCACGCTCTCCCTCAATCTGAACCAAACAAAAAAAATTAATGGGAGCCACCTGTTAGGCTGAAATGTGACTGCGTTCAAAGAACTGGTGGAGGTTTGGCCTTTTTCTGACTCCGTCCATCCCCTAGAACCACCCTCTGGCAAGGACCACAAACAGAAGCCATGTCAGTCAGAAGTACGTCAGTCAGTCTCTCTCTCTCTCTCTCTCTCTCTCTCTCTCTCTCTCTCTTCTCTCTCTCTCTCTCTCTCTCTCTCTCTCTCTCTTTCTCTCTATCTCTATCTCTTTGTCTGTCTGTCTGTCTGTGCTAGATGGATCTATCTATCCATCTAGCAACTATCTATCTATCATCTGTCTGTCTGTCTGTCTGTCTCCCTACCTACCTACCTACCTATCTGTCTATCTATCTACATCTCTACCTACCTACCTATCTCTTATCTATATCCATCCATCCATCCATCCATCCATCCATCCATCCATCCATCTATCTATCTACATACCTCCCTACCTACCTACCTACCTATCTCTGTCTGTCTGTCTATCTATCTACATCTCTACCTACCTACCATGCCTATCTCTTATCTATATCTATCCATCTATCTACCTATCTACCTATATATATTTCTCTCTCCTCTCTCTTCTCTCTCTCTCTCTCTCATCTATCTATCTATCTATCTATCTATCTATCTATCTATCTATCTATCTATCTATCTACATCCCTACCTACCTATCTCTTATCTATATCTATCTATCCATCTAGCATCTCTACCTACCTACCTACCTATCCTTATCTATATCTATCTATCCATCTAGCATATCTATCTATCTGTCTGTCCTATCTATCTATCTATCTATCTATCTATCTATCTATCTATCATCCATTCATCTATCATTCTATCATCTACCGGTTATTATGTCTGTCTTCTGTCTGTCCTGTCTGTCTGTCTGTCTGTCCATCTGTCTGTCTCTATCTATCTATCTATCTATCTATCTATCTATCTATCTATCTATCTATCTAATTTCTGTACTGCCCATCACACTACATTGAGCCTCTGGGCAGTTTACAGTAAAACAATATAAAAGCTGTAAATCAAGTTGAAAGCCATAAAAAGGATCATTTAGAAAGTTTAAAAGGCAGAGGAGCTACCTATCAATCTACTATAACCACCTCCCAGGGTTGCATAGCATTCTTGGACCCTCCCCAGGCCGAATGGCAGAGCCAGTTTCTAACACTTTTTATCCGGAAAGCCGCTCTGCTTAAATCATTTGGTGTGAATAGAATCGCAATTTGGATTATCTATGCCAGCTCTATCCAAAACAGCAGGTTCACATCCGAGGCTCTGTTTCAGTAATTAGACAAAGTTAGTGCCAAATTTTCATGCTAACAATTGAGAACCCAACTGGAGGATTCAAGGGACAAAGACCACACACCTTTCTCACAAGAAATCCAGATACATGTACACAAACCCTTCTGGATGAAAGTTATGACTACTGCTCAGCAACCTTAAGTCAAAAACATCTAAATGTCTATGGAGATTCTCAGTCATCCAAGTCATGGTTGTCCAAAGGTGTTTTTCCTTTCAATAGCAACTGGATTTTCTGGTTTTTCTTTGAAGACATTTTGCTTCTCATCCAAGAAGCTTCTTTAACTCTCATCAAGAAGCTTCTTCAACTTTTTACATGGTCTAAAGCACCCTGTTATTAAGAACAGCTGCCTCATTACTGCCAGTTCGAATCTCGCCAAGGCTCAAGGTTGACTCTGCCTTCCCATCCTTTCTAAGGTAGGTAAATTGAGGACCCAGTTTGTGGGGCAATAAGCTGACTTGTATAAATATATCAAAAGGATGAAGGCTATTGCTTAGCGCATTGTAAGACGCCCTGCTTCTCATCCAAGAAGGGCAGCTTAAATCAAATTAAAAAAAAAACTCTCATCCAAGAAGCTTCTTCAACTCTCATCCAAGAAGCTTCTTCAACTCTCATCCAAGAAGCTTCTTCAACTCTCATCCAAGAAACTTCTTCAACTCTCATCCAAGAAGCTTCTTCAACTCTCATCCAAGAAGCTTCTTCAACTCTCATCCAAGAAGCTTCTTCAACTCTCATCCAAGAACTTCTTCAACTCTCATCCAAGAAGCTTCTTCAACTCTCATCCAAGAAGCTTCTTCAACTCTCATCCAAGAAGCTTCTTCAACTCTCATCCAAGAAGCTTCTTCAACTCTCATCCAAGAAGCTTCTTCAACTCTCATCCAAGAAGCTTCTTCAACTCTCATCCAAGAAGCTTCTTCAACTCTCATCCAAGAAGCTTCTTCAACTCTCATCCAAGAAGCTTCTTTAACTCTCATCCAAGAAGCTTCTTTAACTCCCATCCAAGAAGCTTCTTCAACTCTCATCCAAGAAGCTTCTTCAACTCTCATCCAAGAAGCTTCTTGAGCTGAAGAAGCTTCTTGGATGAGAAGTGAAATGTCTTCAAAGAAAAAACAGAAAGTCCGGTTGCCTCTTGAAAAAACACCTTTGGGTAAAAGACATCTACAACTTTCTTAAGTGTCTCTATGGGGTCAACCACAATCAGTCACAATCAGAGGCAGAAGGGTAAGTAGGACTTCTTCTAAGAGCAGGCCCTGAGGACATGTAAGAGCCACCAAATTATGTAGCATACTTCTTTACAGCATAACAATTACTTCACATCAAACAACAATGTACCATATTTTTCTGAGTATAAGATGCACCTTGTTCCCCCTTAAAAGGGGGTGAAAATTTGGGTGCATCTTGTACACTGAATGTAGCCCCGCCCACACAATGGCCCCCACCCTTTGGCCTCTGCCTCCCAGCAATTCACCTCCTTGAAGCAAGCAGCCAGAAGAAACAGCCCATTTCAGCTTCAGCACAGCCTAATTAGCACAAGTTGATTGTCCATTGGATCTGCCTCCCGACTCTCAGCTGTTTCAGGCTGCAGGGATTGCCATTGCCTATTGCTGCACGGGCCTCTGCTGCTTGCTGCAAGGAGGTAAATTGCTGGGATGCAGACTTTTTTTTTTTCTTGTGCTAATCAAGCTATGCTGAAAACGAAAGTGAAAGTAAAGCAGGCTGTTTGCTGTTTGCCGCAACGAGGCAACATTGCTGGGAGGCAGAGGCAGATTTCTTTTTCTTCTTTTCCTCACCAAAAAAGGGAGGTGCGTCTTATAGTCTGGAGCGTCCTATACTCCGAAAAATACGGTAATCAGGAAAGAACAAGGATGAGAATTTTTTTTTTTTTTTTTTTTTTTGCTATTTTCCACTTAGAAAGGCATGCAAAACAGCTATCAAAAATCTTGTAAAATATGATTGCTATTAACTCTGGGTTATGTAACGCTTCCTTTTTTTTTTTTTTTTTTAAAGTACGGAATTCCACAGCGTGCTTTCCAGATAGCAGGAATAAATCCAGATGTTTGCTTTCTCCAAATTGAAGTGCAGGGAAGAGACGGGGCAAAATGCCATCATGAAAACTTCTCAGACACACACGGGGGAAAACCCAGCACAACACCTGCTGAATCCAGAATACGGATAATGTCTTTCACAATTTACCTGAGAACATAGAAAGAGAATCCTCTTTTTTCACATTTTCTGAATAGTTTTTATCCCAGCGCTATAATTGCACTCAACCATGAACTAAAGGGCCACCATCAGTGAGCTGTTGGACTGCATTACTTGGTCTGTTGTGTGGATGTTTGGATGGTTTAGGGGTGGGGAATTTGTGGTGGGTGGGAGTGTGTTTGGGGATTGTTATGTGTGTTGGACTTGGTCTTTGGGTGTTAAGTGAATTTCGTTGTATGGGTATATTGTGTATACACGTATGACAATAAAGTTATTATTATTATTATGACTGAGAATCTCCATAGACTGTCATAAACTGTCAAAATGGAAATTTCGGGCTGAATTGTGGTCATAACTCGAGGACTAACTGTATAATTACCATTCTCAAGTATCCTTGACTTGGCTATCCAGGAGCCTGAGTGGCGTAGGAGGCTAATGCCTCCTACTAAGGCAGCATTTAACATCCAGCTGCCTGCAATTACTGCGAGTTCAATTCTCACCAGGCTCAAAGTCGACTCAGCCTTCCATCCTTTCTAAGGAGGGTAAATTGAGGACCTGGTTTGTGGGGGCAATAAACTGACTTTGTATAAATATACAAAAGTATGAAGGCTATTGCTTAACGCATTGTAAGCCGCCCTGAGTATCCGGAGAAGGGCGGCATATAAATCAAATTAAAAAACAAACAAACAAACATAATGTTATTTGTAAAAGACATGAATGGGGTTCCCCAAAGTTTCTGGCAGGAACGAAATTTGCTTTCCACTCTCCGTCTCATCCCTCTGGGAATCTGTCCCAAATTCCTTTAGCTCCATCAATTCCTACCTCTTCTAGGTTGACCTGGGAATGATTACGACTTGCATCCTGCCATTACCAAACAATTAGCCTCTAATTTCCTTACAGGAATTAAAACTATTCATCTAACCAGTCGAAGAACTAATTAATAACTGCTGCGAGTCTTTACTGATATAGCAATATGCAAAAATACACCTCTGTAGGAGATAAGCAGGGACGCGGTGGCTCAGGGGCTAAGACGCTGAGTTTGTCAATTGAAAGGTCAGCAGTTCAGCGGTTCGAATCCCTAGTGCCGCGTCACGGGGTGAGCTCCCGTGACTTGTCCCAGCTTCTGCCAACCTAGCAGTTCAAAAGCAGGTAAA